AACACACATTTCCCCGACGAATATCCTTGACCGAGACGTTCCTAAAAACAAGTCAGAAATGCTGTAATGCGATCGACGTTGATACAACGTACTTCACATTGAAACCGACGTTGTCACCAGGGCCACCCTCAACGAGTTGCTCGTGGTGCATCTCCACCGACTTCACTTCAGTGGTGACGTTTGAAGGAGCGAAACTGACGATCATTCCGGCCTTGATAATACCAGTCTCAACACGACCGACGGGGACAGTGCCAATACCACCAATCTTATAGACATCCTGGAGAGGGAGACGGAGAGGTCTGTCGGTAGGTCGCGCAGGAGGTTCGATGGCATCAATGGCGTCGAGGAGGGTCTTGCCTTTGACCGGACCGCTCTTGTTCTCCTTTGTCCAGCCCTTGAACCATGGCATACTAAAGATCTCTATGTCAGACAACTCATGTTAATTACACCACGGTGAAGGAACGTACTTGGTGGACTCCTCCAGCATGTTGTCGCCGTGCCAGCCAGATATGGGAACGAACGCAACAGCCTTAGGGTTGTAACCAACTTTCTTGATAAATGTGCTCGTCTCTTTGACAATTTCGTTGAAACGGTCCTCGCTCCACTACACAGCATCATGAGAATGGTATTAGTGGAGTAGACAGGCATGGCATACCTTGGCGGTATCCATCTTGTTGACGGCAACGATGAGCTGACGCACTCCAAGGGTGAACGCCAGAAGGGCGTGCTCACGGGTCTGACCGTCCTTGGAAATACCGGCTTCGAATTCACCAGTACCACCGGCAATAATAAGAATGGCACAATCGGCCTGAGATGTACCAGTAATCATGTTTTTGATAAAATCACGGTGGCCGGGCGCATCAATGACCTGTATCAGACAAGTATGTCGTAAATGATAGGGGCGACCACAAGCCAAAAATAAATGAAATAACTTGCAGTAATCATATATCTTGGGGTTTCGAACTTCCAGAGTGCGATATCTATTGTGATACCACGCTCGCGCTCGGCCTTCAGTTTGTCAAGCACCCATGCTGTGGAGGAAGGATGGCCGTCAAAAAAACCTGAATTATCAGATGGTTAAACGATGACTCACCATACTTGAAGGAGCCTTTGCCGAGTTCAGCGGCTTCCTTCTCGAACCTTTCAATGGCACGTTTGTCAATACCACCGCACTTGTAGATCAAGTGACCGGTGGTGGTCGATTTTCCGGAATCGACGTGACCAATGACTGCGATGAGTTAGCTCGGCCTGATCTATCGATAAGATAAGATACAAACCGACGACATTAACGTGAGTTTTATCCTTTCCCATTTTGAATGATTTCTGTGCGACTAGTCAGTACCAGTTGGAACAAAAATTAATGGTAGGCAATCGGTAGGCAAAAGATCGAAGCGATTCGCCAGAAAAAAGGTTGGAAACAATCGTTCGAGATCGTTTCCATCGATTGTGTTGAACTTCGAGGACTGGCCAGGGTGGCCAGTTGACACAAAGCATATCGAAGAGAGAATCCACTTACTTGGGGGTGTAAAGAAGGTACAGAAAAATGGAATGGGACTGGGAATGTAGGGGAGGAGAGGAAAGAAGAGACACAACGTTGTGATGATTATATCCGGCGAGACGAAAATTTTTATCGCTGATTCGGATCAAGATTAGTCCAGGACCCCTGGAACCAGATAGTCTGTTGAGAATTTTAATGCAAATCTCGCCGGTTTTGATGTTCAGTGTCTACTCCCTTTTTTCTTTCGGAACACATTTTGCAACTTTCGGAACAGCTTGACTCACTTTCTTTCGAAAAGTTGCAGCCAACAGCGCTGTTCGAGTACCAGGGGTCCACTCAGCCGGTGACTCCATGCCTCTGGTCGGCTCCGGCCGGCGCCATACCGATAACCTTCAAGGCTACTCCACACAGAACAATTGCAAATAATTGGGGTAATAGAGTGTATTAGCTGGAAGATATATCGAAATTTGGTGATATATATCAAACAAATTTCAATATATTTGGCTGTGGAGCGGGTCAAACGCCACTAAAATTGCAATGAGAAATTTTGAACTTTAGTGCCATTGCAAGCAGCAATTGGACCGTGCGCAGTGATGTGTATGTCTACAACTCTACTACACCACTACACCATATGCCATGGTCAACATCCGACGATTTCTCCTTTCCCTTTTGCCGGCCATTGGTGACAGACCTGCACCTGTCTTCCTGTCACCTGTGTTTATTAAAAATTTTGAAAGTGTGGAGCAAGCGTCTACCGCTCGTTTTCGATATATATCCGCAACATTTCAATACATAAAATGTCGATATATCTTCCAGCTAATACACTCTAATCCTAGTATATTCTACATTTGTCTACATCCTATCGATAACAGTAATTGGAGAATGAGCGCTCGTACGTGAACAAGAATGAATATATAGATTGACGATGTGGCATTGCAGGTAAATGTTGACGATTATAAGGACGGATAAAAGAGGCAGGAAAAGCGCGCCATGTAAGGGCAAAGAGGCATCCAGACATCGAAACAAATCCTGAGCATCGTTTTGATCTTCAGGCATGCCCATAGCATGCGCGCAGGAAACGAGGTCGGGACGATGGTGATAAGATAATCTAGTCTTCATGCCCAGCCACCATTTCCACACAAAAATCGGCATTGCAGGATCTTTTCAAAGGTGGGTCGAGCGTTTACTTCCACCTGTAGACACGCTCGGACAAGGGCAGCCGCATCTCCCAAAGCGCCTCCGCCATCCGCTTCTTCGCCTTCCCTCTCTTTGTCATCCGCACATCGCTCATCGAGAGCAATTGTCGCGCTGGCAAAAGGAGAACCAAGGCCCACTTGTGCGTCATCTGCAGTTGTGAATGGACACTCCCCAACGAGCAGGACGTATGCCACAACACCAAATGCCCAAACGTCCTGTTCCTTCCCGTAATACCTCTCCCCACGAAGGATTTCAGGACCTGCATAATCCAAACTGCAGTGACTTGTAATTGAACCGATACAGTCGAAGATAAAATGGGAAGGGCACTTACGTCCCACTGAATGTGTCCCAGCCACCACTCTTCACGAGGCCGGAGCTGCCAAAGTCGATCAAGATGCATTTTGCCGACAGACCAAGGACAACGTTCTCGTCTTTGACGTCACGGTGGACTAGGTGACAACAATTGTGGACCATTAATAAATTGACGAAAATACTACGAGCTTACCGATTCCTCGAGAGTGAAGGAAGCACAAGGCATCTGCTAGCTGACCGAGGTAACTCCGGATGGAACTCGGCTCTAAGCCTTGTGGAAAGTTTTCCACAAGATCGAACAGATCAGAAGGAGGGACCGGTTCATCAGGTTGTTGTTCGGGTGTAGTGGACGGCAAGACCAAATAATAATAATGATCGTCCTCGAAGAAGTCAAGGAGGGGGCAGATATTAGGGTGGCCTTTCACAATTTTCCCTTTCACCCATGAAGAATCGCAAGCTAGTGTATCGGTATTTGAGGCATTTTCTTGTTGGGATGATGCCGACAGAGAGAACCGTGCAGGATCCCAGGGTCGTCGAGCTGGGAGCTCATAGGACATAGCGGAGAGCGCAGACATGACATAAATCTCAATCGGAATCGTGCCGAACTTTGGATGTCGTTTCCAACAATCGGCGAGGATACGAGACTTGATAATTTGTTTAATAACCAGTGGAGGCTATTCTGCCATTCAGCACTCACAACAGAGTCGATAATGTAAATTTCTCACCCCCAATGAACTGTCGTTTTGAATTTCCCTAGCCAATTTTACTAGTCCATATGCGCCTCGCCCAATTTCCTTTTCAATGACAAATTCAGATATGTTTCGCTCCCCCAAGAACGATTGACTGTTATGTAATGGCGGGGGTTGTGCGTCTGCTGCGGAGCTTATGAGACTCCTTGTACTGCCTGCGCGAGACAAACTTGGCGGTATCATGTCTGAAGATGCCGGGGGTTCCACTGGGACGATCAATACACGCCCGGCAACTAGCGAGACACGCTGTTGGGACGATCGTCGACGAGGGCGACAAGATGTAGGGCTACGCGAACCTGGGGGTGCATTTACTTGGAAACCTGAGGTGCTGTGTACACTGCCTGGTGTGAGAGGACGCGGAGACGCAGGGCGAGACTGGTCTGGACCGAGAGAAGCTGGTTCAGCAGAAAAACAATTTGTCAAGATCAAGGGTGTTGGTGGCTTTGTACTTGGGGGAGTCATGGGACGAGCGGGTGAAATGATTGAAATTGGGCGGGTTGGCTTGACAGAATTTTGAGAAAGCCTGTTCCGACGCTTCGTAGCGGCGAGCGCGTCGGCGTCACGATCACTTTTCGATCTCCCAAGTTTCGGAGGGTGCAAAGACTCGGTTTCGTTCCGTGGCAGTTCCGCTTCGTCACCTTTTTTCTCCCAGTCAAAACCACGACCCATAGATGTCACACCCCAGCTATTACCAACACTCGCTGCTCTATACAACCTCGATGGGGCTTCGGCTACCCAGTCATCGTCAGAGTCAACAGTAAGATCAACGGTTGGCGCAGATAGCATCAATTGAGAGAAAACAATGGGGTATAACCCGTCAAGCCCCCAAAGCTGAGCTGTGAGTGAAAACAGATGACTGGTTGGTTGCAGGGACGATCAAATGCTATACCAGAGTGATCTTGAAAAGTCTTGCAGGCCACAACACTCCCACGGTCAAACATATGGACCTCCAACGATGCTGTCGACTGCGTCGGGGAGACAACGGAACAACTGAATTACTGGCCTGTCATAGCTCCTGTCATCTAATCTCAAGTTTACGCACACGGTTGGATACCATTCGGAAGGAAATTATTGGGATTGCGCAAATGCTAATTTTGGAATCATTGCAATGTAAAAGTCGCTTCTTAAGCTGCTAATTAAAAGATTTGAAAGTTCTAATGACGAATTAGCCTCAAAAACCGCCTAGAACCGCTTTCCAGTAAAGCTCGAATGTCGGATCGTTCAGAAATCAAGAATAAAAAGATCGCCGACAGTAGGATTTGAACCTACGCGGGCATAGCCCAAGTGATGATGTGCAATTCAAATCACTCCCATTAACGACTCTGGCATATCGGCATAGTTAAAATTTGAAGACATTTGGGATATGATCTGTCGTCATGTAGAATTCTCTCCTATCGTTATTGTAATGGTCTCTGTACGCCATAGCACATATGTATCCATTGAGCCTTGTGTTATCATTGTCAGTCAATATTAACTTGAGCCGCAAGAGAAAATCAGAAGAATGAGCGTGACAATGTTATATTTACGTAACCCTAACCCAACGGACTTGAGCACAAACAACTTCCCGACCAGTGCTCTCCCACCTCCTCAAGATCCCATTGTGAGTACATGGTCCTCTAAATTTCCTTGCTGGACCATGGAAGCTATGCATCCATTGTCTGAGAACTGAATCTCGAAAGAAATGGGCTTCTTGGGTGGATGGAAATGGGTGGATGGTTCCCAAGAGGCTGGATGACGCTCCAGACTCTGACCCTACCTACCATACTGCATCTCTCTTCTTTTTCTGGGCATTGCAAACCTGAGGCTGATTCTCTCGTCCCAGTCCCCTATGGTCACCAAAATTCCTATCGTCAAAAAGCGCACGAAGCCTTTCAAGTTTGTAACTTATTAACACCAACCCTTTGCTTGCGACTAATCCTCGTTATATAATGCAGGCGCCATCAGTCGGATCGTTATCATGGCGTGAAGGAAGCATGGCGAAAACCCAAGGGTATTGATAACAGAGTCAGGCGTCGTTTCAAGGGTCAGCTTCCAATGCCCAAGGTACGTTCAAATCAGGTCTTGGTTCAGGCTAGTCACTCCAACATCAATGGTTGCGTTAGATTGGTTACGGGAGCAACAAGAAGACACGACACCTTCTCCCCAACGGCCTTAAAAAATTCCTCGTCAACAACGTTCGGGAAATCGACCTCCTCCTCATGCACAACAAAAGTTTTGCGGCAGAGATCGCACACCAAGTCAGCAGCAGGAACCGCGTTATCATTTTGGAGAGGTGCGTTCAACTTGACTCTAGTTTAGCTTTGACTGTCGCTCATTCGAAGCTGGTTTCCTAGGGCAAAGGCACTCGGCATAAAGGTCACAAACCCGGCTGCACGTCTGCGGTCAGAAGAATAGAGTGATTGTCATCGTTGCTGTCTTTCTTCTTGCACTAGCATTACATTACATTCTTCCATTGCCATGTACCCCTTACATATGCCGGAGAAAATCGATATGCATCCATGCTTTACGCCCCACAGTATTTCGTTCGTGAGGCGATTGTGCACCCACAAGTCCTGATGTTATTGGCCTGCTACTAGATGGTTGAATGTTTCGTCTATCGGCATTGAGAGGTTGTCACATGCATGATACTGGCAGACGCCGAAGAGGTCCATCGATCGCCGATGATCGTCACTGATCTTAAACCACACAGAGCATTCGACTGATCATGTCCACATCAAAGAAACTACCGACCAGGCAAGGTCCATGGACATTAGTATTACGGTGACTGACAAATACCCCTACAGGAAAGCAGAGCATGCCGGTTCCTGGTATACCAACAATAGTTCGTGCACCCTCACTCTTCAGGCGAAGAAACGACGACCTAACGATTCTCTCACGGTATAAAAGAATCGGAGCTTGATACTCAACTTTCAGGTTGGCTAGCAGCTGTAAATCCTGCAGCTGAAGAGGACTTCGCCCCTCCGATCAAAGGGTGTAAAGCAATCATTGCCCCGTTCGTAATTTCCTCAGTCGTGTAAACTGCGACAGAAGGCTTATATTTCGTGATCAGACATGCAGGATATTCATATTCTGGGCCTGCAGCTGCATGGGCTTACAAGAGTATTGATACCACTGGAATGTACGTGTTGTGCTTGAAGGTACTCCTGAGTCCTGATAGGGCTTTGATTTTGTTCTAGAAAACGAGTCTTCATCCTCGGGCCATCACACCATAAGTCAATCGATGGATGCGACTTATCGCCGTGTGGGGCATACGACACGCCATTGGGACCTCTACCTTTGGATCTCGACAGTAAGTAATTTAAGCCAGTTACGACATTTATGAACTCACTCCACCGTGCTTTGAAGCGATCAAGGATATCGACAAGGCTATCGACAGTGCAAAACTCAAGAAATACAAGAGACCCGATCAAACTAATTACATGAGAGTTGATACCGACCAGGCTGAGCACAGCATCGAAATGCATCTGCCTTACGTTCGGAAGGTATTCGAAGGGTAGAACTGCAAATCACAGTTTGCAGCAAGTCACTGATGTATTTTAATAGAATGAACATCAAGATCGTGCCCATCCTGGTTGGGGCTATGAACAAAGAAAAAGAAAAAGAATATGGAGAACTGTTGGCTCCCTACCTCTCTAGAGCGGACACATTCTGTGTCGTATCAAGTGATTTCTGTCACTGGTGAGTGGCTTGCAAGTTATCCTGTATCCGTGAAGACAAATTGACTCGTACGCATCGTATCCAGGGGATCACGTTTTGACTACATGCACTACTATCCAGAGCCGCCACTCACAAATACTCCTTCTGTTGATCTTCGGTATTCTAGGCCGTCTCCTTCGTCGTTCTCCACATTCCCAATTCACGCATCGATCTCAGCACTAGACCACGAAGCAATGGCTTTGTTGGCCTTGCCACAGACGACTGCTTCGGATGCACATGCCCAATTTGCCGCATATCTGAGAAGGACCACGAACACCATCTGTGGACGACATCCCATTGGCGTTCTCCTTGGTGCCTTGACAGCGCTCGAAAAGGACGGTCTTACATCGACGATCAAGTGGGTGCGATACGAGCAGAGTAATCAATGCCACAACATCAATGACTCGAGTGTTAGCTACGCGAGTGCTTATGTTTTATTTTAGAGTGCGAGTTGTAGCCGGCGCCTACAAATCATTGAAATCAATTGCTCTGGGATACCTAGAGGAATTTGGACAGCATGATGGGTCGTGATCAATGTTATTGTTTGCATACCTGCTTTTTGCACATGTGCTACCTTCGAAAAAATGTTATAAGTAACCTAGGCTTGCTTAGGTAATCCGCGACTTGCAACTTAAAAGAATACTCTTCACCACTATCTCATGCCGCCTACACAATCCATACGAGCTCTCCAAATCAGAGCGCCGCTGCACACAACAGGACGGCGATACGCCTCTCATGAAGCACCGCAATACAACGAGCCTAGCGGTTGGATCTTCGGTGAGAAGGTATGCCTTGCAGTTGATGGAGTCCAGGCGCCGGTTTAATGTTTACCTATTGTCGTTCCTTAAGCCTCCACCCCCTGGACAAAAGCGAGTGAGAGAGGACTGGGAGTTGACTTGGTATCTGGGGATGTTTGGGGCAATGGGCTTCGCCGGAGTGCTGCATTATTATAAGCCTGACACCAGGTATGTGTTGACAATGCGTCAGTCGTCCGGTTGCTCGTCTCACCTCGTCTTTAGTATACAAACTTGGGCACTGGCAGAGGCGAAGGCCCGGATGGAAGCAAGGGGCGAGAAATACAAATATGAGCCAGCATCATCATAATGGACGGCCATTTACCACATCATTTTATATCTACCCGACGGCGAAATAAGCAATCTCAAGATGCGCCCACGAACCTCTGCAACAATTACTATTGCGATAAATGTCTATTTAAATACAAAACATCCTGCGGCAGTTGAGGCCGTGAGGAATACTTATACCGGAAATCCGCCCATGGAACATCTAGTTCTATGAATCTTGAATGTCTCGGTACGCCTTCGCTGTCATAAGATCTTCCACCTCTGCCGGGTTAGAAAGTTGAATTTTGCAAAGCCATCCTGGAAAATATGGCGTTCTGAATTAAAAGTATAACTGCAACAAAAGATTGCGGAGCTCACCATCTTCCTCTGGAGATTTGTTCAGCAGCCCAGGTTGATCATTTAGCTTCTCATTCACCTCCTTGACAATACCTGATACAGGTGCGTACTAGATTCGGATCCGCCAAAATGAGGATGCTACCAAACAATAATCGAAGACCAGGAAACTCAACGATGTCTGAAGCAGCTTTGACACTCTCTACTGCTCCAATTTGATCTAGGATTGGAGAAAGCACATTCAGCGGCTCTTGCGATACAGCATTGTTGCATAGCATAGCTCACCGCCCTGTTCAACTTTGGTCTCGAGAGCTGGTAGTTCGACGAAGACAACGTCTCCTAAACTTGATTGTGCATATTCTGTGATGGTGATAGTCCCCAATCCAGTTTTGTCGTCGTATGACACAGTTTCGTGATCCGCTGTGAATCTTTTGGCTAGGAAGATGTTTGGCTTAAGTGTGCAAAGGCCCCTCGAGCCACAAAAACGTACTGATCAATGTCCGAAATATGGGAATCGATTGGATGCCCGCAGGCACCGCTGCTCGACGAGGCAGAGAAAGCCGTGAACGAGAAGTTTGTCTCAGGACAGAGAACATTGTTGAAGGGGAAATGATGGAAGGTGAGACATTTTCAAGTCGCATCTCGGAAAATTTGGCCGATATAGGCTATCATATGATATCCATTCTCGTCGTGAAATGATGTTCTTCAACTTCAAGGCTCTAAACTATGATGTATAAAGATGTCGAAACAACAGGGGAGTGAGTAGGGCTGCAAGTGGCAGAGATGTCTGTCTACTTTTAGCATGCGGAGCGGGGCTATGCAATTTATAACTGAGGTATCTATTACTTCTGCTCCGCCAACGACAGAATTTTGGTGATGATGCCAGTGCCGACTGTGACAGAAATGATGAAGGCGAACCCAGGTGAAAGACAGCACATTAAGAACTGACCTGTCTTATTGCCCTCACGTAATGTGAAGCGAGAGCCGACTTCGGCAGCAACGTCGTGTACAAGATTACAAACCAACTCGACATGATCACCAGGCATAACCATCTTCTCGGCAACATTCGGGGTGCCACTGGGGAAAGTTAATCTAACTGTGACATCTGCCGTTCGGATGAAGAGCTGGGGGCAGAAGCCCTCCAAGAAAGGACCGTAGCGACCACCCTCATCCTTAGTCAACACCTACCGCAGAACTATTGTAGAACGGGTAAAAAGTTTCAAG